ATAGTTAGCAGCACCTCCATGACAAGCGGTGTCGGCAAAACACTTTTTTTGTAACGGGAAATTCCTTATTCTGTGTTCAACTGGTCCCTTGAGCTACCAGTTAAAATCTCCTGAACATCTGGATCTTAAGTTATCACAGATGAGCAAAATTCAGATTGAGTGGTTTTACTGGTTTAAACCACTGGGTCCGTTTGTTTAGGAGAGGAGGAGACCTCTGTGAATAATTCGGCTCCTGGTAAAAACCTCCCAAACGTCTGGATCTTAAATTATCAAAGAAAAAAGCAGGTCCTGGGCTAACAGCCCATCTCCGACATGCCAAACAGCATCGGAGAAACACTGATTTGTAACATGAAACTGTTTTACTCAGTGTTTTTAACTGATTTAATCAACTGGTCTGTTTGTTTTGGAGAGGAAGAGACCTCTGTAGATAATTCAGCTCCCTGTAAAAACCTCCTGACCACTGAACACTGAAGGAATTCTAACCTTGAGTTCACACGTGGCGCACAGAAGTTTCAGCTGGTTGCAATCTGCAGTCGTCACCACTAGATGCCACTAAATCCTCCACACTGTAACTTTAATTATATTTTCTATGTGTCAGTGAAAACAGAGGGGCAGGCAGACAGATCTTCCTTCCGCTCTACAATAGATAACGCTTGAGTCTGGGTGTGGTAAGTGTCAGCGCTCGCAGGATTTTATTCAAGCCTCTCATGAGAGTCAGGACGTCGGGCCATGACCCCGTCACATCCTCATGAGAAAACATGCCCTCCAAACGCAGAGAGCAAGAACAAAACTGAATACAACTGAGCACTGACGCCATTTTATTCAGCGTGTGAAACAAGGCAAAGAGCAGACATTTGACAAGAACCGTTTCTCCGTCTTTAGAGATCCATGAGCCGCCTGATGGAGCCGATCCTGGAGTTGTTGCCGCTCCACTCATTGTAGCTCTTGTACTGGCCGGGCCTCAGGTAGTAATGGCGCCCCCTGTAGTTGGGCTGCTCGTACACCAGCCAGTGTCCTTCCATCACGTTGCAGGAGTTGAAGTTGGACATGCGGAAACGGTCCATGAGGTTGGGGCAGTTGTCAGTCAGCTCCATCATCTCACCGCCCATGTCGAAATGCTCATACAGCCTCATCTTGAAGCTGCCGCTGTGCTGCAGAGGGCAGAGGGGTCAAAGGTCACAACCCCGCACAAGTCAAATGTTCTTTCTCATACATCACAAATTCTAAATCTTAAACCCAATATGATCATAATATAACTATAATTATGCTCAATCCTTCCCAAACAGACTGTGTGTAAAATTCCCTGCTGAACGATGAGTGACGTCATTGCACGGCCTCTCATTCTGCCTCAGAGACTTTGTGCACATGCTCAGTCAGTTACAGAGTTTACTGTGTGAATAGTTAAGTCCCCTCACTTGGCTTATCTGTTCTTCAGTCCTTGTTGTCTATATCCTTTGTTACAGCAGTGTGACAATGTGTCTTTAGCCCTTTTTAAACAGGAGTTGTGCAAATTTGCAGGAAAGTCCAATCAGTCTTTTTTCAGCATTGGCAGTATAAAAACAAAATCGGGGAGTGCAGCAAAATGCCGCCTACCTACTTTTGTTTATACAGAATGTGCCTTTTTCGGGGCAATGGGGGGCGTGAGCAAGTAACAAAACGTGTAGCTCAGCGTGTGACGTAAACAGTGACGTGGGAGGGAAGCCGCGACTGGTCAGTCCTTCAGTGATTCTCTCGTAAGTCGGCCCGTTCTTCACCGTCCCCGTCATCTGACGGTTAATGGCCTCTTCGTTTGCGAGGACAAGGAGGGCGCACAATTCCTTGTCTCCCCAGTTGCTCATCTTTACAGTGTCTGTCAGGTTTGTGTTTCCCTCTTGCTACTAGCTGCTCGCTAATTCCTGCTATCAGCTGTTTCCTGTTTATCCACCGCCAGTGGCTCGCATGTGCGGCGTCATCAACAGCTCCTCCCACAAGTCATCAACAGCCCCTCCCGTTGCAGAAGGCCGCCTCGTTCTTTTTAAACCAAAAAGGTTCCACCAATATGTCTACCCTACGAGGCGGATAATTGGGCACCTCGGATCAACTCGCCAATCCGGCTCTGTGTGTCTAAACGCTCGCAGCTTGCAGGCAAAACGGCCCAACATTCGCAGAAAATCTGGCAGTGTAAAAGGAGCTAATGTAAAGCCCTGTTTCCACCACACAGTCCGGCACAGTTCAGTTCAGTACACTTTTTTTTCTGTCTCCACAGTGTAAAGTTGTGGATGGTCCCAACAGAAGCGTTCCTTAGCGTCCCCATGTTTGGTCCCCCCTCTGTTGGGGTACCTAGCACACAGATCTGGTACTAAAAGGTGGAGCTAGAAACCCTGCAGTCTGATTGGTCAGTAGAGGACGCTCACTCTGGTTTTATGTAACCTCTGTTCATACATCAGTAAACTACAACTATAAAATGAAAGAGAAAAAAATAACTTCATTCACTGGGCCGACTGCCGGCAACTTTTAAGGTGGAACGTTAACTTGTAATGTTACTCAATGCATGAGTTGATGACGTGAATCCATCAGCACACCTTAAATTTCACTGTGACAACTTTGACCATCACTTTAGTTTTTATATGACACACACTTTTAGTAATGACTTTAAAAATATAGATTAATTTGGAGCGGATTATGTGAAGGTCATATATTCTAATCCTAAGATTAATTCTAAGCTTGCCTGAGAAGGACTAAATGCACAAAGCTGCTATTTTTAAATATCCCATGGAGAGAGACTCTCACTGCAGCCTGTTCTAGCGGTAGAATTAAGTGTCTAAATGAGCTCAGAGCTGCTGCTCATCCTCATGAGAAGGCTGTGTTTTTTGTTTTGTAATGAAGACTGAAATAAGGCCATTGGTTGTGAACGGCACCCTAATGCCCTCTTTTCTTCCTTCTGCAGAGTGGTCCGGACTGATGGAAGCAAGAAGCTAGTTACCATCTCATAACGAGCTAATTTAATGTTAATGATGCTGCATTCCAGGCAAGTTTCTGAGCCCGCAAGTCACCACTTTAAGTCACAACACAAAGGTGCCAGTTCCTTGCTCATTTGAGCAAAACGGAGGAGGTGAAACGGCGCATAAGGTCACAGATGCTATTATACTTTTTATTTTATGTTATCTGTGTGTTTGGAATTTATTTATTCTTGGTCTGGAAACTAGGTGTTAGAGCGGCTGCCAATAATGCGTTAACATTAGCAGATTTAACATTAACGTTAGAGCAATACCTTGCTTGACGTCAGAGAGTGTAACTGGGAGTACATGGATCTGGTACGAGTTGACGGGTGGTAAGTTACGCTCCAGTGCACTTTCACAGGTAGAAGGTTGTAAAAGCACGGGGTACGGGTTGCCTGGAACGCGCCATAAGCCAGCATGTTCCCATTTTCGGTTCAGAGCTGGAAAGCTGCCACTGAGAGAGGCAACGGAGGATGTGAATGACATATCGTGTTTGGGGGTGACTGGAATGTAAGGAAGGAGCTCTGCTGCCTAAAACTAATGCCTCAAACAACAAAAGGTGAGGACACAGCCAAAGTGTTTTGGAGCATTTTGAGGATCGAGGGATTGACATTAACTGACTAACCACTAACTACCAATCTCCTCATTTAACTCTCGACTAGAAAGCGTAAAAGCACATTTTCAGAAGATTTCTGGATTGTACTGACAAAGATAATATTTCCCAGGAGGCCTTACCGTGGGGATCATGCGACACGACTTGACGCAGTGATTCATGCCGGTCATGCCCATGTAGTCCGAGTACTCTCCCCTCTTCATGAAGTACTGGGTCCCCATGTAGCTGGGACGGTCGTAGATCATGAACATGCCGCTCTCCACCCTGATGGAGTGGCAGCGGTCGAACATAGAGTGCAGGTCGGCGCAGTCGCCCATGCACTCATAGTGCCGGCCTCCAAAGTTCCTGTCCTCGTAGAAGATGATCTGATGGAGCAGAGTAAACCACAGTGACTCACAGAGAGCCTGGTGCACAACTCTTGGACACTGTCTTCATTTGTAAAACACAACTGGACACAAACCTTTCCCATGATGTTGGTCTCACCACTTCCTGTGTCTTTGCCCACCAAAGGTGGAGTCCATCTTTATACACGTCAGTGGGAACAGGTGCTGCCATGTGGTGTTATTCACATGAGGCCCGGTGTCAGCAGAGACTCTACAGGAGTCTTCCTCTTCCTATTTGCCACGTCCTCCTCTGTTAGACGCAACAGACACTGTGCAGCTTCTAGTACGAGCCGCAGTGTGGGCAGGTGCTGGAACAGTCAATGCTTTTACCATCCTCTGTTTGTTTTACATGGGCTGGATTTAATGTGTTCATACAGTGTGTAAGAAACTGAAAATCTATGTAAAGATGAGCAGATAGAAATATGAATGAATAACCATAAACAATGTGTTGTGTAAATATGTTCTGTACTACAGCCGGGAACACATGAATGAGTGTGAATAGTAGCCCCATTGTCTCTGTTGAAGCTTCCTGTCATTCAGTGTGGAGGAACGTGACTGAAATACAGGAAAATAAACTTATTTGAGTGCCCCACAATGTGAATCTCATAAACACAAAATGCCTCTTAAAGATAAATAAATACTAAATTAACAAGTAAACAAGAAATTAACGTATTCATGATCAGATTTAAATGATGGAAATAATTATGAAGCATCAAAGAATGGTAGTTTGATTCTGTTATGGCCGTTTATTTCTGCCCATTCTCCTTTTTTAATGAGCCAGGTAGTTAAACCAGTCAATACCAAAATATTTAACAAGCACAGAGAAGATAGTTTACAATAGATTCATTTATTTTGTTATTTAAAACCATATCATATTTCTGTATGGGAGCCCAATGAAAACATTCCACTCCTTATTGTACCACATATTTTATTAACATTACCACAAATAGATGCCATTCAGAGGAGGAAATGAGTGTTTTTGGTGAAACTGAAAATAAAATCAATAGCATCAAGAGAGATTCCTGATTAAAACTCTGTGATTCTGCGGAAGGACCCAGTGGCGGCGCACGTGGCCCCCCAGTCACTGAACTTGCGGTACTCTCCGGGCCTCATGAAGTACTGGCGGCCGCGGTAGTTGGGGTGCTCGTACAGGGTCCAGTAGCCGTCCATGACGTTGCAGGAGTAGATGTCCCGGCTGCGGAAATGGTCCTGCACTGACTCGCAGTCGTCGCTGAACTCCATCATCTGACCCTGGAAGTTGGGACGCTCGTAGATGCGCATGCAGTAGGGCCCCTCGCTGGTCTGGACACACACAGTGGGGTGAAATACAAAGTTAGAGGAGGAAGTTTCTTCTCCACAGCCCTCCATGTGTGTCTCAAGTGTTTCTTTAACCAGAACGTTCTTCTAGTTTATTTTGTCCTGAATCTACTGACTGTATCAGGTCTGGGTTAGGACATAAGGTCCAAATTTAAATGTTAACCTAAAACGAAAGAATATAAAGAAAATTATAATGTTCATTCCAAATTTAAATGTTAATCTAATGCTTATGATTATATCCATTCCAAATTTAACTGTTAATGTTAGATGAAAGAATGAAGGATACAGTCATCAATAGATCATATCCTTCATTCCACATTTAATTGTTAGTCATAAGCAAAGAATAAACTGATGACTGTATCCGTCTTTCCAAATTTAAATGCTTATTTTAGGCAAAGAAATGAAGTATATAATCATTTGTAGATTATATCCTTCATTCCAAATTTAAATGTTAATCTTAAACAAAAAAATAAAGGATGTAATGATTTCTTCCCAAATTGAAATATTCATTTCAATTCAATCCACTAAAACTATGTCCTTCATTCCAAATTTAAATGTTAACCTGAAACAAAAGGATAAAGAATATAAAGAAAAGTAGATTATATTGTTCATTCCAAATTTAAACGTTAATCTCATGCAGAAGAATGAAGGATAAAATCTGCTAAAACTATATCTGTCATATCAAAAATCAAATTTAAATGTTAATGTTAGAGAATTCCATATTTAAATGTCAACATGAAACAAAAAAATAAAGGTTATAAGAGAGTAGTAGACTATATCCTTCATTCCAAATTTAGAAGTTAATTTTAGGCAAAAGATTGAAGGATATAATCTTCTAATGATAATATCCTTCAATCGTTTGCCTAAAATTAACATTTAAATTTGGAATTTCAAGCTTTTTCAACACCTGACCATCAATCAGTGGATTTCATTATTTATTCTACAAATGAAATGCAGACAAATCACTTATCTCCACTTAGTTTAGTATCTCGTGGAAGTTTATTTTTGGTAGGAAGATGAGCAAAAAACTAAATAAACTATATATTGCTGTTCTTTTTCTTATGCCCACAGAAAAGTACAGAGAACAGACTGAAGCACAAACTGAGGCACTCAGAAACAAACAACATAAAACACATACAGCAAGTTGCTGCTCAGTCACTGAATATTGTTTTCTTGCATCTTTAATCTGTAACAGAACATATCTAAAGTTAAAAAAGGGGCCCCACACACTTCACAGAAACAAAAACTTGAAGACAAAACAAAATATGTGAAATGAAATATTCACTCACATAGGAGAAGGTACGGCAGGAGCGGATGGTGTCATTGTAGCCCATCCAGCGTTGGTAGTCTGGGTACTCTCCTCTGGTCAGAACGTACTGGTAGCCGGTGTAGTTGGGCTTCTCGTACAGCACCCAACAGCCGCTCTCCACCTTTATGGAGTTGCAGCGGCTGAAGTGGGGGTGCATGTCAGGGCAGTCGGTGTCGCACTCATAGGAGCGGCCCTGGAAGTTTCTGTCCTCATAAAATGTGATCTGAGTTCAGAAGAGAAGCAGGGCGAGATTAAAGCTCAAAATAATCTGAAGTATTCTAAATATATAGCTGTTGCAGGATGTATCATGCCCCTGCTGTGTGAGCTAGACATTATGTGATTTAAATTATTATTAAATCCAGTTTTTCTGTTCCTGTTTGCACATTTTCTCCAACATGAAGCCAATTAAATAAGTTTAAGAGAGCTTTAACTGTTGGTCAGTTAATACCAGTTTTAATAAATCCTTACAGCAGCCTTCCTCTTACTTTTGCACAATTCATTTCACACACAGGACCTGCCTTTTCTGAAGAAATCTGAATTTTTAGAGACTATTTGTCCCCAGTATGCCCCGCACTGCACTGACCTACAGGTTCAAATTTGTTCCCAGGCTTATGAAGATGATTCTAAACAGAATACATACCTTACTACTCATCCTGCAAAGAGTGCTGGAGCCAGTCACCCACTGAAAAATGGTGGTCTCACAAAGCAGCGCCCGAGCCCCGCTTTATAAACCTCAATCAAAGGGTTAGCAGATCCCTCTTTAGCTGTATTTTCAATGAGCAGGGATTTAACACGCTGGCATCTCTGCCAAAAGTCTTGATCCTGGGCATAGAACAAAAATCCCTGAATCATCAATGCAAAAGTCCTAGCAGGCAAATTACTGACCCACTGTGCCCTCTTTATTGATATGGACATCAGAGAGACGTTTCATCCACTAATCCTTCATCAGGTGGATTAATCTTTGCATGCAGAATGTCAGAGGTCATCACAAAACAACACGCTCTCTAACTGTTTGTTGAAGTTGGAAACAGATGTAGCTGAAAAATCTCAATAGAATATGTGAATATCCATTTATATTAACATAATAAATAATCCAGCTTTATTATTATTTATTATCAATCATGTGGTTTGGCTTGAATTTGAACAAAGAGCTCTTCCAAAGCTCTTGGTAACTACTAACTAGTTTCACACCACCAAGTTACTAAATCAGCTCCCACTGGTTGGAAGGAGACATCTGCAGCACGGTCCAATCAGAAGCAATCAAATATGTAAACAGGAAGTTGCTGACCAACCTAGCATAACATTCCCACCATTACTTGAAACACAAAGACTGTCATATACATAATCAAATGTCCTTGTGGCTCAGAGTACAGGAAAAACAACATGTGCTCTCAAGACCCGACCAGAAGAACTCTGTGGCTGTGTATTTTAACTCATTCAAACACAACCTGTCCACACTGAGACACACTGGCATCGAACATGTGAGAACACGCAGAGGAGGAGGTGACATCAGCAACATGCTTTTACAGAGAGGCATTCTACATTTTCACAAATAATAACTTCAAACCTGTTTGTTGTGAAATTAAACCACTATTAAAATATCTCAATACAGCCAGTCTAACTTAGGCAACAACCCAGCATTAATCTCAACAACAGGTAAGATAGTCTGGCGTAGAATCACTCCATCTCCCTCCAACTCTCTGCCAGATTTGTGTCTCCCACGTTACGTCTCTGATAATTAATTTAAATAATAATAATAAAAATGTCATGCAGTTTGGAGCTGTGCTGTGTAAAGAGCGAAGAGGAGGAGAGGAGGAGCGCTAGTGCTGCTTGTTTCTGTTCTCTGAGATTCTTTAACAACGTGTAAAGCGGATTTAGAAGATAGTTTCAGCATGTGACTAGAAAGGAAAAAGAAAGGAGGAGGGGAGGGGAGAGGAGAGGAGAGGAGAGGAGAGGAGAGGAGAGGAGAGGAGACAAGACTTAGCCTTAACGATGCAGCTGAACACAGGCCTGCTTTAAAGTTTGGAAGGTTGATTGGTTGGCTTATTATTTTATTTATTCCAGCAACAGCATTTTCCAATTTTCCAGGATGTGTTGATGTTATTTATTTTACAGATCATTAAAGCATGCACAGTGTGACACTGGTCATGATAAATGTAGAAAGTGAATGTAGCAGCTGCTGAGTGTAAACAGTACAGATGTTTAGACACCTCATATGTAAGTTGGACAGACATTTCCCTGCTCAGCTCTGTGAACAAATGTTCTGTATGTCCTTCGGCCTCAAACTCAAGAAATCCTCTGGTGCTGACAGATAGAAACTTTGTGTGCGCACGTTTTTTTGTGCATGCAAAATAAAATTGTGGAAGGGATGTGCTTTTATTCCAACTGAGCACCTGCCCTGCAAAATGTCTGTGCACGGCACTGCTAGTAACTGAAACTGTCGTATAAAAGTAGTGAAATAAAAAGTACAATACTTCTTTATGAAATGTAGAGTACAAATGTAAAGTGTCAGAAAATGTCTTTATTGAATCAGTTTGATGACTGAAGTTTAAAGATGGTCAGAGTGACAGTATAGAGCGAGAAGCTCCAGCAGTCAGACACTTAACTCCTCAATAAAATACTGTAGATATAAAGTCTATGATGAGGTTGACGTCAGTCGCGCAGAGACTCCAGTGAGCCCTCATAATGCTCAGTTCTCTCCCCTCTGCAGCCATTGCTGTCCTGAGAGAGACACAGAGGAGAGGAGGCATTAAAGAAACATGTTGTCTGTTCATCCACAGGGGGGCAGCAGAGGCCTGTCTCACACATGCACAGCTCTGAAATCTGTCATGGCTTTTATCACAAAGGAAACCAGATTAAGTCTCATCCTGTTTTCCCATTATTGTTCAGATTTTCCTCTGAAATATTCTGGATTAAAATAATATTAGCGATTAATACTGCAGACAGGAGGAGGCTGTCTGTGGCTACTCACACTGAGGAAGGAGTGAGACGAGGAGGAAGACGTTGATGCTGACGCTCGTCCAGACGGTGCACTCACCTTCGCCCTCTCAGACAGCCATCTTTTCAACTTTTGATCTGTGAGACATGACTTTGAATTAATGTACACATGTATGACATCAGTGGTTCCAACAGAGGTCCAGTTCATCTGCTGTTTCCAAAGCTTTGAAGCACATCGAGTTGTAAAGCTGCTGCTCAGCTCCTCAGCTTTAAATTTTTCTGATTTTCTTTCACTATTGTACACAACGTGTCTTGAGGTGTTGGATTTAATGTTAATCATTTTGTTCTTTCTTTGCAAAGCTTACACCACACACACAAACACAGACAAAGAGACAAAGATATTTAAAAATAAATAAATAAATAAAACCACTATCTTACTATACAGTGGTGGAAAAAAATTTTTGGACACCCTTATAATTTTACACAATCTCAAATATTATCATGAAATATTTGTGGAAAAATCTTTTTTGTGTTTCAAAAGGTGTGGCTGCATTAGACAGATACAAACAAATACAAATTATATTTTTTTGTTTATTGTTTACAAGAAAAACTAACAAAACTAAATTCTTGACAGTTTCAATATGTCAGTTCTCAACATTGTCGGTATCAATAACAGAGAATGTGTTCAAAACTGAACAAAAAATAAATAAACCATCACATCATCAAATTAATATTTAGTAGTCCTGCCA